ACTTTTTGCACAGGTAGTCAATTAAAGTATTTTTAATGGAATAAAATATTTTATTTTTTGATGTAAAATAATTTACAAATTTTTTATGGTGATATAATATATTTATTAATAAATTTTAAGAATTATGTATAATATATAATGTTTAAAATGATTTTAAGTCTACATAATCATAGAATAAGTTTTTATTTTCAATAAGGGTGTAAATATAAATTATTTATTATATATGAATATCTGAACGAGTTTATCATGTACTATGGCAACAATTTTATTACATAAATAAATTCAACTTCATTTTGTTTTAAACAAGTGACATTAAATACATTTTAAATAATAATTTTAAAAATTCTAATTACATTAAATTACATAAAAATGTCTGATTTATTGGCAAAGTTTCGCATTTGTGATACGATTGACGAAAATATTAAAAAGGAAATCAAATTCTTTCACGTTTTCGGCGAAAGGTTTTGCGAGAAAAATGTGATAATTGTTACGAACAGCGATTCAGTGCAAGGGTTTGGCTGTAATAGGGAGGGGTGTTTGGGGTTGGGTCACAATACACCCGTCAAAAGTATGCAAATAATACCAGAATTATGTGATCAGAAAATCCAACGATTTATCACTGGATTTGACTTTGTGTTGGGAGTCAGTCAACTGAAACACGTGTTCAGTTGGGGTCGCAATCATTTGGGACAGTTAGCCAGGGATGTGACACCGGAAGGCATTTATTTAGAAGCACATAATATACCGTATTTTAATGATAAGAGCATTAAGACTATATCGTGCGGTAATCAACACTCCCTGGCACTCACCGCCGGTGGACAGGTATACGGGTGGGGCTGTAACTATTTTGGACAAGTTGGTTGTGGTCGTTACGGGAATGCCATAATAAACTCACCAGTGAGACTAGTAGACTTTGGAATTAATTATGAAATCAAAAGTATTTACTGTTTTTCAAATACTTCGTTTGCGATTACAGTGAAGGGTTCGGTATTCAGTTGGGGTGATAATAGATACCACCAATTGGGCCATGATCCTTTTGATAATAAAGACCAAGATATATCCGCCTATGTAGCAACGCCAAAATTCATACCCAACTTAAAAGATATTAAATCTATAGGGTGCACATACTCATTTAATAACAATATTACTTATTTTATGTCGAATAATAATAAAATATATTTTTGTGGCCGATATACTAGAGATTTGAATGTAAATGGAATTCAAACACAGGATATTCCCATACAAATCCACTTAAATTTAAACATACAAAAGTTTAACTTGTTCAATTCATTTTTCCTACATGATCAGTTAATAATTAAAAATGATAACACTATATGCGGAATTGTATCGCGAAGCGAAATATTAAATTATGATCACGATAATTATATTGATTTTTATGCTAACGAATATCAAATAAGTTATACAACGATATACATAAAGCCAAAAGTAGTGACCGCGTCCACTGAAACACAGTCTCGATTCACACAAATATTTAGACAATTTTTAAGTCCTTTTTCAGGTAAATATCTGAATGTTTATCTATGATTTAAATACATTATATATTATTCCTATGCAATGTAGGATCATCAAATTCTGTAACACATACCCTGGACAATAATTTCATTACACTGTTCGACGTGTTGTCGGCTATGGGTTCGGGAGGGTTTGGAACAGTATTTAAAGTCAAACATAAATTCGATGAACAGATATATGCCGTCAAAAGAGTCGAATATAAAGGTTTTTATAATTAAAATCATTTATATCTTAAATACTTTTTATATTTCGAAAGACAAATTACTCATTAAAACTGCTCTAACATTACTTATGAGCTTGTTACTTTTTGGTTTGATGTAACACTAAAGCAGCTTATTAATGAATTATTTATAATCCAGTAATACGTATGATAGATATAATAGTTATATGATACTATTTATTATATAAACAGTTTGACAAAACCATTTTGACTCTATGTCTTAATATTAATATATGTTAGAGTTGAGCTAGATCAATATAAAATTTGATAAATATTATTTTATTGCACCAACATGGTAATATGCCTTATTTATAAGTGATAATCGAATTCTAGTTTATGGAAATGATGCGCTAAGTCATTTCTAAAAAAGAAATTTCTAGATTTCTCGAAATTTTACTTCGTTAATTTTTTAAAATTCCCTAAATGTCAAAAATTCAAATTTTTAAATGTATTTATCTCAGCAATGGATGAATGTAGCGGGGTCCTCAGCAGGGTTAGAATAATCTTTCAAACGATTAAAAATAATCAGCAGGCGTCTACACTTTTATCTTTACAGCAAGCTCTCTATTCTTGAAATAAATAATCTATGTATTTTATGTCTCTTATTTAAAACTTTATTATTGTCTAACACCATTGCGTGTATAATCAAAATATATAGAGAATATTTGTCCTAGAATAGAGCTTGCTGTAAATATTACAGTGTAGGTGCCAGCAGATAATCTTTAGTATTTCGAAAGATCATTCAAACACAGTTAGGACTGCTCCGTTACATTTAGGTATAAATAGAGCATATTACCATGTTGGTGCAATAAAACCATATTTCTCAAAAATTTTATATTGATCTAGCTCAACTCTAACATATTTTAATATTAAGACATAGAGTCCAAAGGGTTTTGTCAAACATTTATGTTTAATACACCAGAATCTACAGAAGAATATATGAAACGGATTTATAAGGAAGTGAAGAATTTAGGAAAAGTTCAGTCAGAATATGTGGTCCAGTATTACAACTCGTGGCCCGAAAGTGAATATCTCTACATTCAGATGGAGTTCTGTTCACAGAATTTAAGGAATATTCTTGACAATAAACCAAAAATATTTAAAAGGCAATTTGGCGAACCTATGAATTGTGTCGAGTATTTCATTTCATGTGAAATATTGCGACAAATCCTGGAATGTGTTCAGTATTTGCATGAATTGAATCCACAGATCATTCACAGAGACCTCAAACCCGAAAACATTTTAATCGCTGAAAATGTGAGGAACGGTAGATTTGTTAAGTTATGCGATTTTGGTTTGGCTACAGAGCACAGGACGGTATCTCAGATTCTGTCCAAAAATGTGGGAACTATTAGATATATGGCCCCAGAATTGGACCAATCACAATATACCAATAAAGTGGACATTTATAGTCTGGGTATCATTTCAATGGAAGTGTTTGATATTATTTTGGAGTATGAAATATTCCTATTACATCTACATATTAATAATTTTTATTTGATTTTATTATAGTGAGAGCGAGTTTACTGAATATAATAGTAGTATATTTCACGAACATATTGAAAATCTATTGAAAACATTTCTTTTGATGCTTACTTATTGGCCACACATTAGACCAAAGTGTATTGACATTCTAAAATGTATTGACTCATGGTCACTTAGCAAGGAAATTATTGTATCAAATATTAAAGAGTTTTCTTTATTTTTAAATTCATGCGACTGTAAAATATTTAAAGAGATAATAATGTATTCATTTACACTGAACAAGATCAGCATCTTAAACAATACTGTTTCTTAAAGTTCAATATGGTTAGATAAGGTTAAGTATCAAAATGTCTATGATATACACTACCGTAATTGTAAATTAAATATCAGTATTTTTTATTAAAATGAGCAATTTTGATTTAATTAATTAAAATTCTCGTGTAACTTGTATTTAGTTTTAAGAAAGTATGGCACAAATTCGGTCTTTATATCATAACTGGTCTCTAGATTAATATGATTTAAGAAAAGTGGTTTGACATCATCATAATCCCTACACCATTGGTTTCTCATAGTCAACAGGTCAGCACAGGTAGGTCTCTGCCAACTCTGACCACTTAATGCTGATAACGTGAGTTCCATAATATTCTTGTACTTATCGTCCAATTCTTGATTCTTCCAACTATTTTAGCAAAAAAAATAATTCATAAATAAAAACAAATAATTAAAATAAATCTAAATACTTATTAAAGTCCACATTAAATAGGTCCTGGATCAAAACACCGATACTATAGACATCAACACTGGGGGTGTATCGGCATTTCAGTGCATTTTTAGTGCCGCCCACCTTAACCTCCGGTGCCATATACCTTTCGGTGCCCACGTATAGCGAGTGGGACTGGGATTTGGACTTATGCTCCACCGATAGGCCAGTCGGCCAACTTAACGAACTTCCCCCTATGAGGCTCAGAGTGCACCAGTAGGTTATCGGGTTTGATATCGCGGTGTATGATCGGCGGGTCCCGAGAGTGTAGGTCCTGAATGGCCGTCAAAATCTCAATCAACAGTTCGGATGCCATATAATAGCCCAACGGAGGCAACAGTTGTTTGATCTGACGGTCAAAGTATAGCCGCATTTGCGTCAACACGTCGATCAGGGATGTCAGACATAAGTCCATTTGTATGTGAAGTATAGCGAACTGTTTGGCCGATGAGTAGAGTCTTCGCTGGAAATCGACGTGTGTTTTGTCAAAGTGTCGGCTCTGTTGCCGATTTTCGTGCCAATACTGTCTGGAGTTTGAATCTTTCAATCGAGTTTGAAATGTATCTCTCACAGTCAGGTACTCCTTATACCAAAGACATGCACTTTCCTTCCATAGGCTCAACTCGTCTCTCAGATTCAATATGTTTTAATCTGAAGGCCTTCATATGTTTCGTGGTTCTCGACACCCGTGCCTTCCATTCCATGTGAACACTATCCGCATCGCTGTCTGTGTCGGAAACTCGGAGGAGATCATCAAACCTCTGCCATAACACATCAATTTCAACGACTTGCTCGTGAATGTGGCCATCGATGTCTTCCGGATTGGTTAACGATGACATACTTGGCCAGTAGATGATAGTCCAAAGTGCGGTAACAAATGAATTGGTGTTTCAGATGACTTGCAGTTCAGTACCGTTGTTAGTGTGAGTAATCTATAGAGTTATCAATTCAATTATGTTGTTACCTTGTTAATTGAGTTATTACCTTTCCTTTATTTCTCAGTTTCCTAAGTGCTTACAATCACTTATAATCAGCAATGATATTAAAAACCCCTAAATATAATACATATTAACCCCGAAATTATTTGAATTTCTATTTAAAATTCATAATCATTTAGAATTATTAGTTAAACCAACAGGTTGCACAAATAAATCACTCAATTCTACATATTCTTGAAAATCAATAGCTATTTTCACAGGTTATGTGAAACTAGGTGCTTCATATTAAATATTACTTTATTAATATTAATATAAAAACTTATTCTCATATCTATTAACATCTTAAGCCCTGATGATGGTCACAGTGTTGACCGAAAACGTGAGGCTATTATCTTAATTTTATTTATAAGACATTTTCACTGATACTACGAATAAATATTGAAAACTTAAACTCTAAATATTACTTTATTAACTTAGAGTTATTGATCTAAGTACTAATTACATATAACCTTTACCTTGAAATTAACAAGTTTATTTTTAAAAGATTAACAAATGTTTAACAAAAATTACGTCAAACTTCTAATGCATTTACATTAGTTTTCATTAATTCATTAAGTCTTTCATTGTATTTGTAATTCTCGTGTAAGAAGTATTGAACAAATTGATTGTTAAAATCATAGTTTTTTTCAACATCAATACAATTCACAATATTTGTAAGAATTTGATCCCTGACCGCACGGTAGGGTATATGCCACAGGTGTCTGGTTTTTAATGTGTCCGCACACGAGGGTCTTTTGGAAGGAAAGCCATCCACAAGTGTTTCATTCAATTTTGTAATCCTCATATAGTTATCATCCTCTGGCTCTGGACTACACGAGAGAGAGAGAGAGAGAGAGAGAGAGAGAGAGAGATTAAAATAATAATTAATTTAAAATAACTAATAAACCATAACAAGATCTAACTGGTATATTAATTATTAAACCCTCAAAAGGGTAATAATATAAAAATTGATTGTATACGTTAGCTTGATAATTAAATATTTAATGAGAAATACCTGTGGAGGGCAAAGTTGAACAACTCGTTAACCGTAACCCCAATGCTATACATATCGGCTTTCGTGCCGTAACAGCGACTCAGTCTAACTTCGGGCGGTATATACTTGTCGGTGCCATTGTTCTGGGTGTGGGTCATAGATTCCTTCAGGTGCTCCGTAGCCAACCCAAAGTCAGCCAACTTAATGAACCGGCCGTAGGGACTACCCTTAATCAGTATGTTTTTGGGTTTGATATCCCGGTGTATAATAGGAGGTGTCAAACTGTGCAAGTAATCAATGCCTTCCAGTATTTCTATCAGCAATTCTGAGGCCATATAATAGCCCAGAGTTGGCAGAAATTGGTTGACCGGTCGGTCGAAGTGTTGCCTCATTTTGCGAATGCCGTCCTCCAGAGTAAACCAACACAAGTCCATTTGTATGTATACTGTGAGCACCAATTCCTTGTCTTTATGTTCGGCCTTTAACCATGAGCTCCTGTATTGCGTGAAGTGGTCGCAGTTCAGTTTCGCCCATACCTTCAACTCCCTGATCGTCATGTCGTAGACTTCTCTCACTGTCTTTTTAACCCTTTTAACACTTTTCTCTACAAATATAATTATTCATTCATTAATAATATGACATACTGTACATACATTGTACTGTATAATCGATATACAATACAGATATTTTACTAGTTATATAAATTTATTTATTAAAATTTATTCTTATTTAATATTTTTTTAATAATGGAGTGTTTAATAATTTGTGGTCTGTAATACAGTAGGCATACCTCCAATAACAATGGTTTTGATGGCGTACTCCTTTTGGTCGATGAGGTGTTTGGCTTTGAATACATCTCCAAAAGTGCCTTTCCCTATGAATTTAATGCTATCATCCTCGCTATGGTCAAACTCGCGGGTCATCCGTTCATTTTGCACATACAGGTCTTTCAAATCGGGGTAGTCTTGCAGTAGATTTGTAGTCATTTTTGGATAAATATTTGTGAATATTATGTAAATATTATGAGAGCTAGATATTGAATGTTTGGCATAATTCAATGTAATCACTTATATTTGATTATAATAAGATCATTGCAAACACTTTTGAAATCCGGAAGCATGAGTATTTTAGTATTTGTTCACAATTAAAGTTATTTCCATGTAACAATAATAAAAACTTTATCAATTTCATACAACCATTTAATGTATAGTCGTTGACAAGTGAACAATCATAATTGCAGGTTATCTAACTGTTATACGTAATTACAAATAGCTTTACATAGTTTAAATAACTGTTTGTAACGGTATTTGAATGACATTTATATGGATGATACAGACAAATATGAGTTTATTTTTCGCAGCTTTTAAGCATTTCTTGCTTACGACTCAATATTAAAATCTTTTAAGTTATTAATAGTTAGACTTTATTGTATTATAAGTTATTGATGCAAAAACTCATAAATTACTAGTAAGTTATAATGCAGTACAATAAAGTCTAATTAGTAATAACTTAAGATTTTAATATTGAGTCGTAAGCAAGCAAAGTTAATATTTGTCTGGTATCATCCGATTCATTTTATTTGGGTGCTTTTTATAAAATAATTAAATAATTAGTGTTAATAATTAATATAACATTTTTATTCATATATTTTAATCAATATTAAATGCATAATTAAGAAATAGTTAAATAGATATATAAATTATTTAATGAATATTTTGATTGAGCAAGTATTTAGTTTTGAGAAAGTATGGCACAAATTCGGTCTTTATATCATAACTGGTCTCTAGATTAATATGATCTAGGATAAGTGGTTGGACATCATCATAATCCCTACACCATTGGTTTCTCACAGTCAACAGCTGAGCACAGGTAGGTCTCTGCCAACTCTGACCACTCAATGCTGATAACGTGAGTTCCATAATATTCTTGTACTTATCGTCC